AAGACTGCGACATGCCACTCCGCCTCGGTGAACAGAGTGGAGGACTTTGTCTCAAAAAAAAAAAAAAAACAAAAACCTCCAAAAAATTAGCCGGTGTGTGGTGGTGAGCGCCTGTAATCCCAGCTACTTGGAGGCTGAGGCAGGGAGAATTGCTTTGAACCAAGAGGCGGGGGTGGTGTGGCGAGCAGAGACGTGAGGCAAAGTTTCAATCTTTGGCCAAATTTTTGCCAAAAAAAATCAAGAACAGGATGTTGGGGCCTAAACAAAGGAGCATAAAAAATTAACTGGCCAGGCACTGTAGCTCACACCTGCAATCCCAGCACACTGGGAGGCCGAGGTGGGCAGATCACCTGAGGTCAGGAGTTCGAGAACAGCCTGGCCAACATGGTAAAACCCCATCTCTACTAAAAATACAAATACAGGCCGGGCACGGTAGCTCACTGACTGCAATCCCAGCACTCTGGGAGGCCGAGGCGGGAGGATCATCTGAGGTCGGGAGTTCAAGACCAGCCTGACCAACATGGAGAAACCCCATCTCTGCTAAAAATACAAAACTAGTTGGCAATGGTGCCGATGCTATAATCCCAGCTCCTCAGGAGGCTAAGGCAGGAGAATCGCTCAAACGGGAGGCGGAGGTTGTGGTGAGCTGAGATCATGCCATTGCGCTCCAGCCTTGCAACCAGGCGAAACTCCATCTCAAAAAAAATAAAATAGGCTGGGCGCGTGGCTGACGCCGTAATCCCAGCACTTTGGAGCCGAGGCGGCAGATCCCGAGTCAGGAGATCGAGATCCATCCTGTAACAGGGAAACCTGTCTCTACTAAAAATACAAAAAATAGAGCCGGGTACGGTGGCAGGTGCCTGTGGTTCCAGCTACTCGGGAGCCAGAGAATGGCGTGAACCCGTGAGACGGAGGTTGCAGTGAGCTGAGAATATGCCACCTGCACCTCAGCCTGGGGCAACAGATGGAGACTCGTCTCAAAATAATAAAATAAAAATACAAAAATCAGCCAGGCAGGGTGGCAAGTGCCTGTAATCCCAGCTACGCAAGAGGCTGAGGCAGGAGAATCGCTTGAACTCAGGAGGCGGAGGTTGCAGTGGGCCAAGATCGTGCCACTGCACTCCAGCCTGGGTGACAGAGCAAGATTCCATCTCAAAAAAAAAGAAAAAAGAAAAAAAACTGATTAACTGTGGAAACCAAAGAGAAGCAAGCATCTTCATCCCAAAGAGGGGGAATCACTGTAAAGAATCAGTCCTTTTCTGCAATTATACAGGCAGTAGGAAAAACAAATAACTCCTACCTCTGTCAATAAATCCTACTCACACATAGTCTCTGGTCCCTAGGATTTGGCCATCAGGCAAAATGAGCATCCATGACTTCATGGAAACAACCACTGGGCACCCTGAGAGACTGATCCTCATTCAGCCTACTTGGATGGCTCTTTTGTGGTGCTATGGACAACTAAGGCCACACTTTGGTAAGGCAGGCTTTCCAACTGCCCCAATGATCTTTGAAGCATTGGTTGTGAAGTTCTCATATAACAAAGTTACAGGGAGTAGGTGTTTACATAGCGACTAAGACTAGTTACTCCTCTAGGTATTTATGAGGGAGACAGCACTGATACCATTTTCAAATGAGGAAACTTATGAATATAGAGTTTGTAGAATTTGTCATAAAGAACATGAGTTTGTAGAATTTGTCATAAAAGCATAACACAACTCATCTCAGAGGGGACAGCTGAGGAGGAAGCTGAAAGTCTGGTTGAACAGTAGATGAACAACAGACTAAGCAACAAAATGACCAGCTTGGCCTCATCATCAGTATTTGGCCTCTGGCCAAGCCAACCAAGTCAATGGCAGCACACACAGAAATAGAGCTTGGAGTTCCTAATTTTCAGTCCTTCAGTCCTGTGTTTTCCTTAGATAACCAGGAGGCCATTAATATGCTGGTTTTATTCCCAATTTTTCTTTTTTTTTTTGAGACAGAGTCTCGCTCTGTGGCCCAGGCTGGAGTGCAGTGGCGCGATCTCAGCTTACTGGACCCTCCGCCTCCCGGGTTCATAGCTGGGAGTACAGGCGCCCACCACTGCGCCTGGCTAATTTTTTTTCTTTTATTTTCTTGAGATGGAATCACGCTCTGTCGCCCAGGCTGGAGTGCAGTGATGTGATCTCAGCTCACTGCAACTCCCGCTCCACGCGCCCCCTCCCCCGTTTCAAGGGATTCTCCTGCCTCAGCCTCCCAAGCAGTTGGGACTACAGGCGCACACCACCACACCCAACTAATTTTTGTATTTTTAGTAGGGACCGGGTTTCACCATGTCTGCCAGGATGGTCTCAATTTCTTGACCTCCCAAAGTGCTGGGATTACAAGCCTGAGCCAGCACGCCCGGCCTATTTTTTTTTTTTTTGAGACAGGGTTTCAACATATTGGCAAGGCTGGTCTCAAATCCTGACTTTGTGATCCTCCTGCCTTGGCCTCCCAAAGTGCTGGAATTACAGGCGTGAGTCACTGTACCTGGCCTATGCCCAATTTTTCTTAGCAAAGAATGGAAAAGCTTGTGGGTCAACCTTAAGGATAGTAACTTTCATTTACAAATGAGTTAACAAATTTCTGCTGCTGGTACCGTATTTGCCACTCAGTAGCATTCAAAAGTTTCACTAGATTACTTTATAATGGAGGATGAATCACAAATGTCTAGGATCCTCCCCCATTAAATTCTTGACAGAAGACCCACAAAGATCATCTTTAAACCCCTTTTCTGCTCCTATGACTATTTAAGTCCCACCAAGTTAGTTAGCTTTTGAAAGCTCACATCTCTTGATCAGTGTAGAGGCAACATGCCATATGCAGGTAAAAAATCAACCCACGGTAGGGATCAAGTATACTGAAGCTTCAGTTAGGAGTAAGTGGTTCCAGTTTTGGATCGAGGACCCTAGTCAATGATGATCCTATTTTGTAATCCAGTTGTAAGATATCTGGGGAGCAGAGGGAAAAAAGTTAACGCTATGGAGTTGTCACTCCAACTGAAGAAAAATTAATAGGAGCAGCAGAACTTCAGTTCTGGAAAACTTTTTTTTTCTTTTGAGACGGAGTCTTGCTCTGTCGCCCAGGCTAGAGTGCAATGGTGAGAGGCTCATGGCAAACAGTGCCTTCTGGGTTCAAGCGATTCTCCTGCCTCAGCCTCCCGAGTAGCTGGGATTACAGGCACGCACCACCACACCTGGCTACTTTTGTATTTTTAGTAGAGAAGGGGCTTCACCATGTTGGCCAGGTTGGTCTCAAACTCCTGACCTCAGGTGATCCACCCACCTCCGCCTCCCAAAGGGCTGGGATTACAGGTGTGAGCCAGCGCACCGGGCCAAGTTTTGGAAAACTTTTAGTAAGGCTGAAGGCTTAGGCATGTTTTGACCATTTGTAACTAATAATGACACTCATCACAAGGTACCCACAAAATTCACTGCCAGTCACCCTGCTACGTCAAAGCCTCTCCTACTTCAGAACCTACCTAGCCATAATTTTAACTGACATTTTAGCAACAAAACTTTTATTTGAAGATATCCTTGAGCCACAAATCTCTTTGGATTTAGATTTCAAGCAGTAGAAAATAAGATGGTTTAATCTGCAATTCAGTAAAAGAACTTCACATCAAACTTCAATCTTTAAGAAGCTGCTACAGCTATACTGTAAGGTTAAGAGTTTATTCTTTCAAAGCAGGTCTCCTCATCTCTTAAACGCTATATATATTAAGTAGATAAAAACTGCAATTTCTATTTTGGTAGCATTTAGGATCTACAAAAGTGATCTTTCAATTACTTGGAATTTCAAAATAGAGGTTACCTAGTAACAATGCATCAGTAGAACACAAAATACTCTGATTTTGTTTAGTCTGTGGGGGGAAAAAAATCTTTAAACTGGAAAGATTCTGTAGCCTTACGAAGATTATTACACTGGAATTGGAATTACTGTAGTTCGTTTTTCCCTCTAGGAGGGCAGCCATTTCTCTACAAGTTTTGTAAAAGTTAAGACTCGGATTTCAAAATGCAAGCAGATGTTGATGAAGCATACGAAATGGGCAACTCCATTTCTATTTTGGAGCCGCAGTGACTCCGACTTTGTGCCCCAAGCCTGTAAAGCACAAAACCTCATCCCTTTGGTGTAAACCTTCAAGAGAAGTGGGGCAGCACACTTCAGGCTTTTCACCAACAGGCTGGCGACATGCTACGTCAGGGTGTCCGGAGAATCGGAGCTGAATGGGAGAGATCTTGAGGGCAAGAGCCTCAGAGACCTTCAGGCACCGGGCTCGTGAAGGTTTCCACGTGCCCCTATCTAGCTGGTCCCAGGGGGAATTAGTGGTTGCTACAGTAGTTTAAGACGGCCGTGGTTTTTCGCAACCCGGGCGGCGAGATGGCGCTTTGGTGTAAGCGAGGCAAGGTGGGTGCACTGGGATCTCCGCTCTCGGAGCCTCCAGTTGACTGCCACGCCGACTTGCGGCCAGACCTGCGACCTCCGCCCTCCCCCGCGGCGCCAGCCTCTGGAATCTGGCGTCGCCCCCACTTCTCCAGTCGAAGTGGGAGTCCCTCTGTGCGGGACCTCGCCGCCATACCCAGGCCGAATGGGGGTGGGGAGGGAAGTTGGCAGAGCTCGGCCTCAGGATCTGCGCCCCTGTGGAAGGACGGCAGAGGAGAGCCGTTTCACCAGCCTCTCCCGTGCTAGGGTCTCGGGAAACACGCGGTAATTACCGAAGAACCCCGCACTCTGTGAGATGCGAGGCTGCGGGGTTGCCGGGACATTTTGAGGACCGGGCTCGGCCGGGGAGACTCCAACCTTCACCCTCCCTGGCCCCCGGTCCCACTTCCCGCCTTCTCCCGGCGCCACCACTTCAGGCAGCCCACTCGGCCCGGCCTCTCCCCGCGCCCGGACCACCCCCCACGGGGTGCTCTCACTGCGCAGCGAGTCCCTCCGCTGCCTCCTCCCAGCCCAAAATGGCGGCGATGGCCGCCGATCTTCTCGTCGCCTTCCTCAAAGGCCAAGGATCCCTCCGCGCATACTGCCCCGCCCATCTTAGCCGGATCTCTTTTCTGCCCCGTAAAGATTAACGCCATCAATGAACTCTTTAATTGAGTTCGGAGAAGGCGGGTCCAGTTGTGCCTCCTCACAGCTAATCGTTGCCAAAAGTGAGAATATTGGCAGAAGGCTTGACCAATCAAAGAAGGCAGCGATGCACGCGCCGTCTGTCCCCGCTCAAGGGTAGATGGGTTTCGGAGTCTCGGGTGTGGCTGTTGACGTGACAGGCGCTCGGATCGCTTTTCAGGCTAGAAGAACTACAATCCCCAGCAGGCACCGCGCGTCCAGGCTATCTCCTCCCCCCATCTTAGTGGCCTGAGCGGCTTGACCACAGCTGCTGCAACTGCAGCAAGAGGTAGGGCTGAGGCGTTGGGAATTGCACCGACAGGCAGTCGCACAGAAAGACACACAGATGTAGTGGTGTGCATAGCCCTTGACAGCGAATAGGTCAGTTCCACTTTTGCAAAACCCCTTTCCATGACTATCTCCCCTCTTCCAAGAAATCCATCCTTGTCCCAGTTGGGTTTCCCGCTCAGCTGCATGTAGCGCAAAGACCTCTTTCCCCTTTCCCCTGTTTCCCTTTCTGAGAGGAAGGAGGGAGGCAGGCCATGACCTTAGAGGAAAAGGCCTCAGCACTAGGCTTGGCCCAGGTCCCAGCTGTGCTTCTGGCCTTTGGAGCCCAGCTTGGGGAGAAGGTTGGGGGTGCAGGGCTGCATGAAGATTGAGGCCCCTGGAGACAGTGGGAAAGGACTCCTGAGCTTGCTCCATGTTCTCCCGTGGCAGCAGCAGCCCCGCTGCACTCCCAGCCTCCCCAGGCAGTCCTCCTTTTCCCCTTTGGTGGTTGGGGAAACAAAGCTTACACCTGGCTTCCTGGCTGCCAGCCTGGGCCTCGATGACTTCCAGGAGGACGGTACAGGACATGAGACCTGGTGAGAGACCCGAGGGGCAGGACAGGGAAAACGGCCCCTGAATCCCATTTGGCCCCTTGCTGGCTGGAGGTGTGAAAACCAGTGGTGGAGGCAGCTTTCGGGGCCTGCATTTGAGAATAAGGGTATGAAGAGCTGGGGTACAAAATGGCTGCCGCTGCCTGGGCAAACAATTCTGGGCAGCCAGAGTCTTCCTGAGAACGTTCCTTCAGAACTTGGATTTCTGATGTTGTTCAAAGCAGGTGTCACTAGTTCCAGGTGTCTGCTGAAAGATTTGGAACGGAAGATGATGGCCACTCCGAACCAGACCGCCTGTAATGCAGAGTCACCAATAGCCCTGGAGGAGGCCAAGGTAAGCCCCTGCCCTCCTGCCCACCCGAGTACCCCGAGCATGGGTCCCACAGCTGAGATCCAAACTTCTTGTCTCAGATATGTTGGTAGATTTGGAAAACCAATATTTTGATGAGTCCCTACTATGCACTAGGCAATAGGCCGGAATCCCAGTCTATGCTAGCTTATGAAATCTTAGTAACTGGCCGGGTGCGGTGGCTCACACCTGTAATCCCAGCACTTTGGGAGGCCTAGGTGGGTGGATCACCTGAGGTCAGGAGTTCGAGACCAGCCTAACCAACATGGCGAAACCCTGTCTCTACTAAAAATGCAAAATTAGCCTGGCGTGGTGGTGTGCATGTGCCTGTAATCACAGTACTTGGGAAGTTGAGGCAGAGAATCACTTGGAACCCAGGGGCAGAGGTTGCAGTGAGCCAAGATCTCGCAATTGCACTCCAGCCGTGGGGTCAGAGCGAAGACTCTGTCTCCACAAAAAAAAAAAAAAAAGGGAATCCTAGGTAACCCTTTCAGGCAGGAATTATTTCCAATTCCCAGAAGCCAAGGTTCTGAGACCTGAAATACCTGTTCCAGAATCATGCTGTCTACAAGCAACAGACCCAGGGTTTAAACTTAGGGCTTTCTGACAACTGAACATTGCCTTGACCTCAAGTTCAAAGAGGGCATGGAGGGACTGGGTTGAATGTGTTTTGTCCAGGCCATGAACCAAGTCTGAAGCAGGAAGAAGAGTTTTTGGTTCATAATTTGAATGGACCCAGGCAGGCAATTCACTTGAGACCAGGATTTCAAGACCAGCCTGGCCAACATGGTGAAACCTCATCTCTAGTAAAAATACAAAAATTAACTGGGCATGGTGGCACATGTCTGTAATACCACCTACTCAGGAAGCTGAGGCATGAGAATCACTTGACCCCGGGAGGCAGAGGTTGCAGTGAGCTGAGATCACGCCACTGCACTCCAGCCTGGGTGATGAAGTCACACTGTCTCAATAAAATAATTTGGAATGGAGGTAGGGGGTTAGGCTATAACCCGCAAAAGAGGAGAGAGAAAGATCGTATCAGACCCTCAGAGGATGCCACTTTCCAACTTGGCAACAGGAACCTATGCTTGTTCAGCCCGTGTTCTCTCACTACCTGCCCTTACCCATTCTTCCTTAGTCCATGCCTCCCTATAGATGAGCAGGGAGCTTAGGAGAGGGGTCAGAGAGCTTCTGACCCACGCTGCCTAGCCTATTCCGTGTTTTCTGGATTTACTGAATTTGGAATTCATGACGTGTCAGGGCTACAGTGTTCAGCCAGGTCACACAGCTTATCTACAGTAGTGGTCATGGTGGTAGAGGGCCAAGTCTTCAGGAGGGAGGCAGCAGGTAGGGCTAGGGGGCTGAGTTTGCTTGGGTGAGGGTGGAGGATCAACAGGGCACTTTTACTGAGGGCTGGGAACATGTGACTGTGCACACCAACAAGCCACCCTGCCTTGGCATCCCAGTGGCTTTGCCTGTCCCAGGTGGGGCGACAGCTCTATCTCATTTGGCCCAAGCCACTGGTGGAGACAAGGGCTATTGCTTATATTTAGTGATCTCCCTGCAGGTGAAGTAACACAACAAACTCCACATACATACATGCCCCATACACATACACAGCCTGACATACCTCCTTTTCCCTGAAATTCTCTTCAGGGTCTGCAAAACACACATGACATATGCCTGGCTCTTAAGGGCTGCACATACACCACATTCCTCAGTACACACCCTGTGTACATGGACCCATGCTCACATGTCTGTGAACTGCATTGCATATTACTCAACAACATACCAGTGGTAGTGGTTATTATTAGAAATTGTCCAAACCACAGACTTAGAGCAATTCATTTCCCATCTCCCACACCCAGTACTCCCACCCTTCCCACAACAGAGATAAACAGATGCCCTGAGCCTATACTGTCTTGACAGAATCTTTCTACCTCTTAGATAAGTTCTGGAACTCTCTCACTGCAGACTGGAGGCCGACCCTCCCTCTCCTTGGAGAGGACCTCTTTCCTGCCATTCATATTGGAGAGTGATGCCAACTACCAACTTCTGCCTGGAATAAATATGTTCCATCATTTTATTTTATTTTTAAATTTAATTTAATTTTTAAATTTAATTTTATTTTTTGAGACAGAGTCTTACTTTGTTGCCCAGGCTGGAGTGCAGTGGCACGATCTCGCCTCACTGCATCCTCCACCTCCCAGGTTCAAGCGATTCTCCTGCCTCAGCATCCCGAGTAGCTGTGATTACAGGTGCCTACCACCATGCCCGGCCAATTTTTTTTGTATTTTTAGTAGAGATGGGGTTTCACCATGTTGGCCAGGCTGGTCTCAAACTCCTGACCTCAGGTGATCTACCAGCCTCGGCCTCCCAAAGTGCTGAGATTACAGGCATGAGCCACCATGACCAACCTGCTACATCTTCTTTATGCCAGAAGGATAGAGAGGGGAGTCTTATTTGTCTGTTTTTTTTAAATTATTATTTTTATTTTATTTATTTATTTTTTGAGACTCCAATTCTGTCACTCAGGCTGGAGTGCAGTGGCGTGATCACAGCTCACTGCAGCCTCAACCTCCCACTTCAGCCTCCCAAGTAGCTGGGATTACAGGTGCTCACCACCATGCCTAGCTAATTTTTTGTAATTTTTGGTAGAGATGGGGTTTTGCCATGTTGCCCAAGCTGGTCTTGAACTCCTGGGCTTCAGCAATCCACCTGCCTCGGCCTCCCAAAGTGCTAGGATTACCAGCATGAGCCACCATGCTCGTCCATAAGTCTTATTTCCCAGTATCTTTTGGATCTCCCTATCTTATAGGTTTTAGGCCACTTAACAGATATTTACTGAGCACTACCCTTGTGCTGTGCATAGGAATATAGTGGTGACTTGGACAGACAGACAAGATGTGTTCTTACATGAGGAAGACAGATGTTAAATGGCCATATGCTAAATGCTGTGTGCTAATTGCGTGACATGATAGAATCACTAGGGAGGGTAGATGGGGAGTCTACTTTAGGTAGGATGGTCAAGGAGGGGCTCCCTGAGGAAGTGACATTGGAACTAAGCTCTAAAAGGTTAAAAAAAGGTGGCTGGGGGCAGTGGCTCATGCCTGTAATCCTGGTACTTTGGGAGGCTGAGGCAGGTGGATCACTTGACATCAGGAGTTTGAGACCAGCCTGGCCAACATGGTGAAACACTGTCTCTACTAAAAATACAAAAAG